AAGGTGTATATATGGGTATGGTCTGCCCTAGCCAGTACAGATCTAGAGGTGTGTATATGGGTATTGTCTGCCCTAGCCAGTACAGATCTAGAGGTGTGTGTAGGGTATGGTATGTAACTAGCCAGTACAGATCTAGAGGTGTATATATGGGTATGGTCTGCCCTAGCTCGTACAAATCTAAAGGTGTATATATGGGTATGGTCTGCCCTAGCCAGTACAGATCTAAAGGTGTATATATGGGTATGGTCTGCCCTAGCCAGTACAGATCTAGAGGTGTGTGTAAGGGGTATGGTATGTAACTAGCCAGTACAGATCTAGAGGTGTATATATGGGTATGGTCTGCCCTAGCTCGTACAAATCTAGAGGTGTGTATAGGGGTATGGTCTGCCCTAGCCAGTACAGATCTAGAGATGTATATAGGGGTATTGTCTGTACTAACCAGTACAGATCTAGAGGTGTATATAGGGGTATTGTCTGTACTAACCAGTACAGATCTAGAGGTGTGTATAGGGGTATGGTATGTAACTAGCCAGTACAGATCTAGAGGTGTATATAGGGGTATTGTCTGTACTAGGGAGTACAGATCTAGAGGTGTATATAGGGGTATTGTCTGTACTAACCAGTACAGATCTAGAGGTGTGTATAGGGGTATGGTATGTAACTAGCCAGTACAGATCTAAAGGTGTATATATGGGTATTGTCTGCCCTAGCCAGTACAGATCTAGAGGTGTGTATTTGGCTATTGTCTGCCCTAGCCAGTATAGATCTAGAGGTTTGTATATGGGTATGGTCTGTCCTGGCCTGTACAGTTGTGTATGTCATCTTATATTCGATGTCTGATTGGACAAGATAACTGTTGCATCAAGGAGACCATACCCCTATATACACCGTAAACGGGCACAATGTAAGTGTAACAATAGACTGTAGCAATTACAGTCTACTTCATCCAATTTCAGATAGACTCATTAAACATTTTAAAACAGTCGCTGAAAACAGCATGTCCCAATGTTTAGAGTTAATAACTGCATATTTTCTTCTGCAACATCAATTGTAATCAAACAATTTATACTTTTGTTTTCTGGGTTTTTTGTTTGTTTACAGAACTGTAATTTATCTGGTTGTGACCTACAGGAAGCAAATCTACGAGGTGCCAATGTCAAAGGAGCTACATTTGAAGAAATGGTGACGCCATTGCACATGTCACAGTCTGTTAGATAGTGCTGCGTATACACACAGCTAATATTTGACATTAAATCTAATGGTGTCACAAACACCATATCATTGCAATATCAACTCTTTTATCTGCATTTAATGCGTACCGGGTTAGACCATTTTATATATTTTGCATTCTTTACTACACCTTGAATGAGCTTCTTGAACAGTCAAGATTTGCATAATATATCTTTTAAGTATACAATACGCTCAATGCAAATGCAGTTGAACTGGTTGCAGCTAGAGTTTGGTTGTATGTAAATAAAAGAGGTCAGGTCAGTATTTATCTGATCAGGTCACCACTGTGTGAAAATCCATGTCATTGAGGTCACCAGAGGTCAGTATTTAGCTGATCGGGTCACCACTGTGTGAGAAATTCATGTCATTGAGGTCACCAGAGGTCAGTATTTATCTGTTCATGTCACCACTGTGTGAAAATCCATGTCATTGAGGTCACCAGATGTCAGTATTTCGCTGATCGGGTCACCACTCTATGGGACACCTGTGTCATTGGGATCACTAGAGGTCAGTATTTATCTGTTCACATCACCACTGTGTAAAAATCCATGTCATTGAGGTCACCAGTGGTCAGTATTTCGCTGATCGGGTCACCACTCTGTGGGACACCTGTGTCATTGAGGTCACCAGAGGTCAGTATTTATCTGATCATGTCACCACTGTGTGAAAATCCATGTCATTGAGGTCACCAGAGGTCAGTATTTATCTGTTCATGTCAATGTGTGAGAAATTCATGTCATTGAGGTCACCAGTGGTCAGTGTTTATCTGGTCATGTCACTGTGTGAGAAATTCATGTCATTGAGGTCACCAGAGGTCTGTATTTAGCTGATCAGGTCACCACTGTGTGAGAAATCTATGCCATTGACACTGTGTGGACCATGCATGTAATTTAGGTCACCAGAAGTCAGACTACCAATTGACATTGCACCAAGGTGTAAATATATAATATAGTGGTGTAATGGTATAGAATAGTGGTATAAATGTAATGTATTGTACCAGAGTGATTATATGCGGGAAAAGTGTGTAATAGTGGTGTTAAGTAGAAGGGTATAAATACAATACAGAATGATATTAACTAGTAGTGTGAATTTATATTATGCAGATAGTGGTATAAAGGAATTATTACTAAGGTATAGTTGTATCAAATAGTCTTCCACTGACAGAAGAGTGATTTACAGACTAGGACATGCTTTATTTAAATAATATATCAGAATAAGGAAGCATTTTATTTGTTAATGGAAATTTAACAAAAAACAACCAGATGTATTTAAAAAAATAGATAAACCACCCCTTATTTTCTTTTAAATTATGAATACACAATTTTAGGAGTTTTCTTGTAGTACGAGGCCTTAAAGGTTTGTGTTGTTGGCATTGATAACAAAGAAATAAAGCTTGTGTTTCAGATTAAATACTAAGTCATCTTTGTTTTCAAACTTTTTGTGTCGTACAACAAATTATGATTCCTGCTAACTCTCTTAAAACACGTTATTTCATAATTTGCAAGTTCAGTTGCTGAAATACTGTAAATGTGTTTTCCAGATTGTTGACACCGAGGGCGCTTTGTATCTGCGAGATGTTCCTCTTTGTGGCTTAAACGTAAATAATTCCTCGTACTGTTTATATTATATGTATATCCCACATTTTTTATTTCTTCACAAGTGTAGACAAATGTTGCATAGTTTCTTTAAGACAGAATGACACGGCTGGGTTTGAGTCGCTGTTTGTGTTTACCATGCAACTTTGAAGGAAATCGCTGAGCAAATTATTTTAATATGCAACGTTTTTTTGGCAATAAGCTTTTTATTGTAATGAAACATCCTACATACCTTGTAAAATTGTCAGTATTTTGCTCACACACGTAAGTTAATTAAACTAATTGCTCTTTAGTTTGCCTATTGACAATTGTCACGCAATTCAAAATTGAATATGTCCTTGAATCAAAATTGCTGCTCAGGAAATTGCGTATAATTAAATTTTAATTAACTAATATCTTAACTTAATTCTTACAATTCATTGCTTATGTTTTATTCGCAATACTTATCATAATGACATTAATATATACTCTCATCAAAATAAAATAAAACTGGATTTTTTTTATTTATTATTATTATTCCCATCGATTTCGTTTGATATTTTTTGAGATATCTAGACAAGCATTTTCTAAACCTAACTCACTTAATCAGGACTATTTGCCGTCCTTTTCTCGTTTAACGTTTCCAGTTATTATAATTATACATGAATGAATTTGTACGGCTAATATAAACAGCAAATGGGTCATCGAAGTGAAAACGCAACTAACACAAATACATGAAATTGTAATTATAAACACTGGTTCAACAAAATTGAAAACTAAAACACTAGTTGAAAAGAGGACGTATGACCTATGTAATACCGGAAAAATTGAAGATTGAATTCAATCTAATAATGTCATGTTCAAAGTATTAGTAACAAAGAACGTTTTTAGTTGTGGATATGAACCTTGTAATTTGTGTCCACTTTTTTATCTTCCATTGTTATTCATTTTGTTATTGTTTAATATGTAGTTGTTAGTGGCCTTACTGTTGTACATACACAGTCAGTGTTGTGTCAAAAAATAAATTGTCAATATATACAGTAGATATATCCACTATATCATAGTTTTAAAACAGCGTCACTATTGAGAATTGATAAGATTTATCACTTTCCACACCGTACTGGATTTGAAGATTACTATTCAGTACGTCCTTGTTATTTGTTATCTTGGACAACGATACTCGTTGGCAGCTGAGTGAACAAACTGATCCTGCATCCGTGTAACATTTGTTATTCGGTGGTGAATTAATTTAATCGCCGCTTTAATCTCGGGATTCATGAATCAAATTGTGTAGCAGTGAAAATTTCCTTCACTTATATCCTGGCAACCAAAAGCTCAAAATCGGTCTCTCTACACTGAGAGATTGTTTTAAAATAAACCATCGCACAATACGTGCTTAAAGTAATAGTAATATCAATTAAATCGCATCTTTATTTGGGTTCTCGATTAAGCTGTCAATATATTTATCATTTATCTAGATCTTCCCAAGACTTCTGTTCAATCGACTAAGACTTCAGTTTATCGCTGTGTACCGTGATGAAATTGTATTATCGTCATTACTCGACAGAGATATGTTGCTATTTCAGCGGGTTTAGCAGTTCTTATTTTATCAGCTGCCGTAAAGAAAATATTGAAACATGATATGAAAATTATCCAGTAATTTTATCATTCGTAAAATAATTTCAAGTACTTGGCTGTAACGGACCACACTCTGCGCCGGCTATGCCCGATAACAACAGTTCGCTGGAAACCGATGAATCTTTTAACAGTCGCGCTGTTTGGGTGTCAGCATAGTACTTAGAAGGGCTTTCCAAGGTGTATGTGGTGTAAGCAACATTTCTTTATATAAGAATGTAGATCTGTCTGTACCTTTGAGAAAATACAAAGTACGTTGTGGTAGGTCCATTTCCGGTTTACAATTGGGATCTAGTTTACATGGCAGTGCCATAGAAACCACGTTCATTTTAAGACGTGTATTAATTGAAGAATTGTGAAATTCTTAAAATTGTATTATCGAATATATTTTGTATGTAGTATATGAATTCGTAAGATATCCGGTTCAGAAGTTGTTTGTAAATAACCGAACAATATTTTAACTAAGTTTTAAAAATAATATAATTTTTCTAAATAACGAACGACTACGCAACCAAAGTTGTCTATTTTGAACGACATTACTACACCAACAACGTCAATTTGGCAGAAGCTTTTCGTCAATATAAACTGCGAATTAATGAATGGTGTATTCTGCACTGTAATTTAAAACCATCATTCATATATACGATTCGCTTCAACTAAATTGATGACGTTTTGATTTCATAATTTAGGGTTTAAAACCTCAAAACGTTTATTGCATTGGATAACGCAAATGTACGGAGACGTCTGTGATACAGTCCTATCCGATATAAAATATTGAGGCCATAGCTCTTATATGTGAACATTAACCTTTTAAAAACGGTTTCGTAAAAACAATACTCGAAATATTGGTAACCAATGAAGATTTTAAAGAGCAGGTCTCGCTTACGAAATAGTACGCAGAATTTTGAATGCTCGGACCCAGGATGACCTGTTAGTGCCTGGGTTTGTGCGCTTGGATAGAATAGCAATTACGTTGTCTGTTTGTTTGTTACGTCAAATCAGTCATGTATGTCTTTATGTTTTATCACCTTTGGCATAGGTACACATGTCACTGGCGACGGTAAAACTGAATCGTTGTTGTTCTGTTATGCAAATGAGGGACAGAGTGCACTGCATTAAGGGTGTGTTGACCGCATTGAAACGATATGAATCGCAAGTAGTTCAATAAAAGTGACCACAAAATGAAAATATATCCAGTTTGAAGTGGGATCTTGTAAAAAATCGGTGAGTGTCAACTTTTTTACAAACGAGTAAATTATAACATAGTTAATGTGTTCACTGATATTTACAGGTCGCATGCGATAATAATAACTTTGTCGTGATCTATTTGTATGTTATTCCATAGCGTATATGGACATACACACTACTGTACGGTTACTTATACTAAATACTCGAAACACCCGTTTAATACTCAGAATAACGCACACCGAATTTGAGTCGTCGCATTTGCGATTTAACGATCGGCAATTCACTCGTATAATAAACAGTGTTGGCATTGACAACTGTTCAGCACAACGTCCAGCAGTACCCAACTGCACTACTGCGTATTTCAACGCGTCCCAACATAGGCGTATTGACCAAATCATCCAAGTTGACTTTGTTTACTTGTTGTGACTTGTTTTGCTCCAATTCGTGTAAGGTCATAGTTCAACTATATGTATACCACGGGTAAAGAACCTTTAATGTTTCGAAACGAAGTGACGTTGTTAAAAAATAAACACTTAAAGTTATTGGGTCACTCGTGTGTTTCAATAGAACGTTAGTGGTTAATATATTGAGGATCCTCCGAGGTAACGTCACTTAAACCATTAAATTTTCACTTTAATTTAAATGTTATGTCAACTTCACGCCTCCTGGGTACGAGAATATGTGTCCCGTGAAAATAAAGCGATTTAATATTTCTCGTTTTAATAACATTCAAGTTAGTTTTGAATCTCTAATATTACGATGCGTTCGCCGTAAAATATATATATCCTGTAATCCACCGACTGTGCATAACACTATATACGATAGAGGGGATATAGAGTATTCGGCTGACAAAGTAATCGCGATCAGACGGGATTTTGCAGTCACACCGCGTGAATTCTCATCCGGATACTAGTATCCCTTCCCGAATAGATAACTCCCATGTTTGCCATCATCCCCATAGAGTACACACAAACAAGTTGTAATATTCGAGGTTGGGTTGCACATGACACAATTTCACTGGTCTGTCCATATTTTGTCCTTCCTTACGCTGCAGCAAACCAGTTATTATTATTATGGGAATATTGAAATGCGTTGATTATTAACTTGAAATCCTAGATTTACAGATCTTAATTCTGTATCGTGTCTTGTGTTGAAAACACCGTCACGAGCATCGTGTCATTTTATATTGTGATTTGAAATTTTCGGAAATAAATTATTCCATCGCTGAGAAGAAACAGGCATAGTATGTTTTTCATTTTCAAAAACGACCGCGCAACACATACTCTTAATTCAATAATGACAAAACATTTGTGAAAAGAAGTAATCTAGACTGACAAGTAATCAGTGTTCTGCGTTGGCAAATATTCTGGATTGTCTGGTCTTGCAAGTAATCTGGACTGGCAAGTAATCTGGATTAGCAAGTAATTTGGATTAGCAAGTAATCTGCATTAGCAAGTACTCTGGACTGACAAGTAATCTGGATTGGAAAGTAATCTGGATTAGCTAGTAATCTGGACCGGCAAGTAATTAAGATTGGCAAGTAATTAGAATTAGAAATTAATCAGGATTGACCAGTAGTCTGGATTAGCAAGCAATCTGGATTAGCAAGTACTTTGGACTGGCAAGTAGTCTGGATTGACAAGTAATCTGAATTGACAGGTCGTGCCATTTGTTGTAGATGAGCGTCACTTATGTGTTGAGTTGGTTGTATCTCTCTACCTACCGCCCTCTTATTTAAAACTTGATGCATTAGTTTGTTTATTTATTTGCAGCCTGCATTAATGTCACGATGCTCTTCTCTGTGGGGTGTCACTGTGTGCGGCTGCATATTTAAATGTCCCTGTCTAGCCACTTAAGCTACCGTCACTGGAATTATCAGAATTCATTGGCTTAGATCTAAAATGTATTCTCCGTATAGCTAAAGTCTGCAATTTTTATAAGCAGGTTTGGATCTAATACGTTGCCGTGGAATGTATGAAAGAAAATGGCATTTGTAATTGGTCGTTGACCGAATGTAAACATCAACAAGTAAACCATTCGAACTGAGGCTACTTTAAGCATCGGGACAATTCTAATCGACAGTTGGATGTTGAATTGTTTTTTTTTGTAGAAACAAAACTGCTATTAATTTTCTCTCCATATAATGATGAGAGTCCTTTTAATTTTGAAAGCAAAGTTTGTTTGTTTGTTTGTTTTTTGCAAAAGTCATTATTATCTGTGCTGACAATTTCTATTGCATATAACTTGTATTTAGAAATGTGTGTAGTACTGCCACGTGTATTATGTTTATTTTTATTACTACTACTGATTAATTAGTGTAACCGACGTCATAATTAATGTTACTGAATTCCCTTAATGTCTACTTGTGTATACACTAAATCTGTAAAGCTGTGACAGTCTTGTAAGATAATAACTTAACTTGTGTCATATTCGCAGCATAGTGTGGATATTTTGTGGGACACAGTCGTCTTCAAGACGCATTTTTGTAAGATATCGGAGTCAATAATGCTACACATTTTTGTAAAGAAACATGAGGTAATATAAAAACAAATAGTGAAGCAGCTAAAACCCCTTTAATAATGTGGTAGTTTATTCCAAGCTCTACTGTTTTGCTGGGAAGTTCTTCCTAAGTTGAAGACATACACGGTTTGTTGGTAACTCGTAGATTGTACGTTCAAATAGTGTGTACGACATAGCATTGGGTCAACATATGTGTAGTCAGTCTAGCATTTTATAATGTTAATCATCTCAATTAAATCACCATGTAAGCAGTTGTCCTTCGATCAGTTCATTGCCCTAATATGAACACTGTGCCTGTATACAATAGTTCAAGTAAATGTGAACTAATGAAGCATGGAGCGATATAATGACATCAGCAATTCTACTAGTGATAGCACGTTTGATAAGGATAAATTACGTTATAGTATAGTATACGGCTCTAGTCCGCGTAATCGATCAAAACGCTTTGGAACGGAGAATCAGAAAGAATGTTCTGTTTACGAGAAAGACAATTATATGCAATATTTTTATTAATTCGTACCACATTGGCAATATTTTGATTCTTAAATAATTATATGTCCAAATTTCGACGAAAGGTTTTTATTGGTTCCGAAACGTAAGCAAAATTGTTATAGATACATAACTATTGCTTTCTGAGTGAAAACTTTTGGAAGATTTGATTTATTGTGTATTTGATGTGCAAATCACGTATCTTCTTTTTGAAGAATATTTGATATCCTTTTCTGATTGTTGCCTAGCAACACCGAACTGACATTTTAGTTTTCCCCTTATTACAATGTGCGTTACTGATGGTTATCTACCGGTACGCCGTGGGCCATGCTATTCAACAGGTAGTTGACCCTATTACGTATCAGCAGTCAAATAACATAGCAGTGATATAATACGTAGATTGTGAAAACCTGTTAAACATCTGCCTTCTGCGTAGTTTCGCGAAAAGAAAACAGTTTTAACCATATATCTTGGGGGGTTAGCGTATCGTGCTGTCAACGCTGTACACGAGCATTAAAGCGAAGATCGCCACAGTGACCTCGATTCTACCGCTGAAAACGGTAACGTGGTTTTCAAGTCTAGTTATGTTTGCAACTCTCTCACATTAATCACCATACCACGCCAAATATGTAGATAAGATAGTAGAAGGCGTTTGTTTTTAACCACAGCTAAACCTCGATACTTCACGCGTGGTTACCGGCTCGCGTTGTTTTAACTGTATATAGCCCCACAGCCAAGTCGGCATCCTACTGGGAAGATCTTTGCTTCCACTAGTTTACATTCCTATTGCGGCCCACATGCCGGGGTTCACGCTACGACATTTTCAGTTGGGCAACAACTCTGGATATATGTCACGTTCCAATTTCAGAACATTGTCAGCTACATACTGAAGATATTGCACTAGCTCTCACCAGCCCTGGACACTCTGCCCTAAATTAAGATGGATTCTGACTATGTAAGCAAGGACGACCCCCAGAAACTCACAAACGGTGTCGATGGTGGTGACGTTGAAATGGAACTACTGAACGGTGATGTTGAGTTAGGTGACTGCCGAGTCAGCAGTACACAGCCGACAGGCGAGCATGGAAGGACTGGAAATACGAATATATCACTGACATATGGCATTGACGATATTCCGCCATGGTACCTCAGCATAATACTGGGACTGCAGGTATTTCACATATTCAATAATTTCATAATGTATTAACATTAATAAAATGTAACGCAATCATTACATCATAGAATAACTGTTTGCCTTAATTCCAGTGTCGCTGTAACTGTGATGTCCAACCAGGGACTGGTTAGCATTTACAAAATACTTCGAATTGTGTTTAGACATTTTTTTTTTTTTTTAAATCTAGAAAGAATGCAATATAATAATTTGACATTTTTGCATGAGTTTGATAAGATTTTTGGTATCCATAATTCATGTAATATTTTATACCATCATCATGGCAATAATTCATTGGTATCTTAAATATCGCTGTTTGTGACACTAAGCCATTGTGTTGGTTTTATTGCATAGTCGTGGGTGTATTCAAGACAACATTTACTTTCATTAACCTGATATATGTCAGAGTATGGTAGTTAAATACTAAAAAGTCTGCTTTGAGCTAGTACACTGAAATGATTGAAATCGGCTAGTAGTACAGTTGGCAAAGGTATCTCATTTGATGTGCATTACCAGTGTTGGTGTCTGGCCACCTGTCGAGATCCGTAATGTTACTTTAAGTATTCAGGACACGTATGTTGAATGTATTCTACCGTGTTTCTCAATGATTATAATTATTGGGAGCTTTGAAGGAATTCAAATGTTAGAGAATATCAACAACACCCAACCAGTAAGCAATTCATTTACATAGATGTCATCGTTTCCCAGGCTGTCATGTACGTCATCAACTTACCATCTCATTCCTAAAATCAAATGAACCAAACCTCAACTTTTTTTCAAAAAACGCGACTGGATTAGAACAAGACAGTTAGCATCTGCAAGTCCTATTTAACTACTAATCTTCGCGTCAAAATTCACACACATTTTTGGCGGATCCAAAATAACCGCAAAGACGACCATTCGACAACAAATTTCGGCTTAAAAATTGTCCCACACAAAACAGATGTCTGGACACGTGACAAATGTGTGCCCTCCTGAGATGCATAGATACTCATCCGGAACAATCAGTAAATTTTCTTATTCAGCCATCCGATCATATGACCGATTGGCGGCCATGTTTATATTGTCTACGGTTACAGGCCTCTGGGATATACTGATCGATTCGTTGTTCGGTTGCATCTCGTTTGATCTGTGATATAATCCAATATGACCGACTAGTGGTCATTCTTTCCAGCAACAAACCTGGAATGCTTCGGCATTTTTTTTCTTACATTTAATTTAATTTAATAGATTTCATTCAAACTCATGTACTCTCAATCTGTGTGGCACGTTCGTGGTCGGATGGCTGGCTGTCATTTTCAGTTTGCCATTTAATTCGTCAACTCTGACGCTTTCTGATGACTGTAAATATGTGCCATTTGTTCCCAGCGATATGCAATATGGCCGACTGGTGCCCATTAAAAGTGGCACATAACGCGACTGGTGTGTATACTTCATTGAGGCAAGAAGGCTGACACAGGTCGGCCATTTTTATTAAATCAATCGTTGTTTGTGCACAAAACTGAGACATACTTATCTAACGCGAATCAGAGGTTATAATTTGTTTTACATATTTTGTGATTTGATTTATTGTGGTAAATAGGCATGACCCCCGTAGCTTTTACGATTTGACACGTGGTAACACATTTACCTGAATCACGTGATTTTCAAAGGATTATTTCGGCATATACATTGTGACCTTTGTATATATTAATAAGTTATTAATTATTTTCTCTCCAAAGGTTTACCTAAGATTATGTACATTCAGGAAATCGTCGCTTCTATTCTCTTGTATCCATGTACTGTTCCTAAAATGCAATTTTTGGTATAGTCGTGTATATTAGAAACATGTGTCACGTGTTTTACTGCTTTTCAGTAGATCTGAAGGAAACACGCTGTTTTGAATCTCTTCGTACTCTAACATATTTATCATACAAGCTGGGGGCATTGTCATACACCCCATATCTTCTTGTTGCTTCACCAAGCGTTCAATTCCGATCTTCTGAGTTTCCAGCCCTCGAACAATTCCTGGAAAACTTCGTCCTTCCTACATGCTTAAATCTTATTCTCAAGACAAAAAAAAGGCCCTTGTCCTCAAAATATCGCAAAACCAAATTATCCTCTTTTATCAAGATTGTCAATTTACCTCGAAACATTACACAGTTTCACCCTGTAGTGAAATGAAAATGAAAACAAAAGTTGATGACCGGCTTCGTTGATTACAGCCAATAATTGGAGGAGTGCCATCGTGAATTCAGACACAAAACGGATGCTCACAAAGTTTCTTTTTACAGCCTGTCTTCCTTTATTGAATTGTCACGTATTACCACACTGTCCTTCAAATTTGATGAGTTAGAAATAAAAAAACTAACTCAAACGTAGCAGTTAATACATGCTGAGAAATTGACAATGAAACATTCCACACCGCACGCAAAGAAAACAGAAGCTACGTAGTTGACTTTAAAGTTGTCAGTCCGGTGCATGCCATTGCGCACCACACACAGAGCAGTCCTTTCAAAGTATATCAACGGATTCCGTACATTGTATACACTATCTACCCACATCCGCCTAGTACGGCATGACGCCGGTATTGACCATGCTGTGCGCAATTTTACAAATACAATATACGCCACTCCAGACTGGAGTCAGCGCTTTCAACGGCTTTCAACTTGTCGAAGATTTGTCGACAATGTTGTTGTGCGCATGCTCGCCGTCCATTGTTGATACGTTATGTATTTACCAAAGTTTATCCAAACATACTATCAGGGGGAAATTCTCTTCTCTCTGGGTTCTCCACACGTGTCAGGGGGGAATCTCGTCTCGTCTCTATATCTCGTCCCCTTGAGGTGCGGGATCGGGAAAGTCACTTAAGCTTCACAGTCAAATAAGACACACACAACGAAATACGTTTCAGCTCTCGTCAGCTCTCGTCGAGCACTCTATAAGACACAGCGCCCTGGGGAAAAATCCCCAAGACTATCGCAAGGCTGACCCAAGACTCTTTTAGACTGCGTCAAGGCTCGCCTCAAGACTCTCCAGGACTGCGTCTGTTCTGGAGTATTCGCCAAGACCAACTCAAACTCTCTTTATTCATTTTCAAAACTCTAACCAATTACAAAACAGTAAAAAGACTCTAGGGCGTAACCTTCAATCATAAAGCCAATCACACTAAGTACTGAATACGTCATATCTTTTGATTAATCGTTCACTACATTAATAACTACGAATACAAACTGTCAGAATCAATAGTCAGAATAGCAACGGTTATCTCGTAATTAGTTCCAAATCACTGAGCCAAGTTCCGTCCAAAACTTCAAATAGGCCTAAACGATGACAGACATAACACAGCAATTCGCTAATAATCAGCTAATTAAGTCAGTCAACAGATACGCAAAAACAAATTCATGACAATACTGTCGAAGGCACACATAACAGGTGTATACTAATAAAAAGGGTATTACTACTATGTTCATTGGTGTTTGTATCTTACGTTTCTATTTATTGGACTTTAATCTTCACTCTGTGTACTGTAAATATATGTTCGGTACAGGCGCAGTCCCTGGCGTAGAGGGACTATTATGGTGCAAACTTGCTTTGAGACGTTATCGACAGCGGTATTTACTGTTTGATCAACAAATAAATCGATCAATCGGTTTTATTTATTTGAACATACAAGCAGCCCCAGGTGTTGGTGCTGAGATAAACCGTGATAACAAATCATAATAGACCGCGGCCATGACCAGTAGTGTTATGATATTACACCAGTAACCGCTCAGATCGGAGATAGCCGACTGTGGTGAACAGCATTGATACTGCATTGATACATTAAAAACATTAACCGATTCCACGGTGCAGTCTATGGTACTGGCAGTTTTCCCATGATGCAGTCGTTGGTAATGGCAGTTTTCCCATGATGCAGTCCTTGGCACTGGCAGTTTTCCCATGATGCAGTCCTTTGTACTGGCAGTTTTCCCACGATGCAGTCCGTAGTACAGGCAGTTTTCCCATGATGCAGTCCGTAGTACTGGTATATTTCCCTTAATGCAGTCCTTGGTAATGGCAGTTTTCCCACGATGCAGTCATTGGTACTGGCAGTTTTCCCTGCATATACATTGTTCTGTTGTTGTCATCAGGGTATAATATAATTGTACAAATTACAGTGTAGAGTTGAGTTG